TCCAGCCATCCCCACCAAACCCTCACCTGCTGCCTTTCCCAGCATTTTTTCCTTCTTCTACACTTGCCAGGTGCAGGCACAGGTTGGGATGCGGGAAGTCCACTTCCCATCAACTGGCCCTGCTGGCTCTGGGTGTCACATCCCGGGTGGAAGCCGACACCCCACTGCAGCCCTACACTGCTCCTTGCTGGCCTCATCCAGCAGCTGCCAGTGTGTCGAGGGGTCTGGACAGCAGAGAATGGGTGTAGCCAAGAAGAAAAGCAGAATGCCTGGACTGAGTGTGTGCACCAAGTGGCACACGTCCCCTGGGTGCAACTGGGGCTATGGCTGCACCTTAGCTCCTGCAAGTTTCCCTGCAAGAAGGGGAACAGCAGCAACAATTTTGAGTTGCAGTATCTCCTGCTGGTATTTCTGTCAAGTCGCAGCTGAAGGAAGGGTGGTCATGTGTGGGAATCCAGGGCTTCCCTCTGGCTGCCCTGGCAGGTCTGGGAGCCTGGCAGGGGTCAGAAACCCCCCTGTACAGAGCCCCCAGAGACACTGTCTGTGATCTCTGTCCATGGAGAGGAGTTTTCAATCTTACAGGATGAATTACAAGCTTTGAGTGTGACACGGGTGCAAAGGTAAAATTTTAGGTTTCTAGATTAGGGGTTCAGAGGGGACAAGATGGAGGAATTGGGTGTGTCGTGTCCTTTTCCTCCTTCTTCATGCCCTCCATGTTTCACTGTAGTGTTGGCATTTTTCTATTGGTTTAGGCTGGGAACACACTGTTCAACGTAGGTGACAGATATTGGCACATTATTGTAAATATAGCACACGTAGTTTCTGGTATTTAATGTTTGTACCATCCCACTGAGGGCAGAGCCCCACACGCTGCCCTGCAGGACAGAGCTGCGGCAGGGCAGCAGAACATGTTAGAGATAAACAGAATAAACAACCTTGAAACCAGCACAGACGAATTATGGCTTCTGCTTTGGCAACGGGGCAGAAAGACAGAGACTTTCTACAATCTCGGAATCAACAATACCCTCAGATTCTGACAGTCATGCAGCCTTCTCTGTGCCCCATGGTGGGGCAGATAGGAAAAGTGGGTGAAATTTTGTATGAGAAGAAATGCACAGGGGACATTCCTTTGCAAAACCTCAAAGACATTCCAGAGGAAACCTCAGCTCCTGGCCACTGCCAAAATTCTTGCAGCTGCCCCACACCATCCTCCAAGCCCCTGTAACAAACAGAAGGTACACTGGTTTGTGGAAGGGCTGTGCAACCTTCCTCTGACTGCCAGTGCCAGTGCCTGGGAGCTGCCTCCTCCTGCAGCCCAGGTCCCTCCTCTGGCCCCGAGTGCTGCCACAGGGAGGACGGAAAAGCCATTCAGCATCCCTCTGAGCTGCTTCCCTGCTTGCATGGCTGACCGCCTCCAGCACCGCAGGCTCCCAACCTGACCGAGGAGAAACCGGACCAAAACAAGCACTGTGGAGGCAGAGGGAAAGCAGCCAGCTTGTTTTTTTTTTTTTTTTTAAAGGATATTGAAGACCAGAGCAGAGAGCCAGCACAGTGAAAAACAGCCACGTGGGGACTGTGAAAATCAGAGCTGAGGAAAGGAAGATGGGAATGGTCTAATAAAGAGAGTCACAATATACAAAATACACAAGTGCCCACCTCCGCCAGGAAAGCTGTGGGAAGGGATTGTGGTGTAATCCCTGGCTGTTTGAGGCTGCCCAGGCAGACACAGTCTGGATCTGCAACTGGATCAAGAATAGACCAGGAAAACTTAGATTTTTTTTTTGCCCTGTCAACCTGAAACAAAATGCTTTCCCCCTTGCAGCATTTTTTCACTACATGGAGGAAATTAAGGGAGGTCAGTTGGCTGTAAGAGGATCCTCCAGCCTCAGGTAGCTCCCGACCACATCCACACACCATATGGAAAAGCATCTGCTCAGTCCCAGAAAAATTCCCCAAGTCACATCCATGCATTCAACAACCTCAGACCAAAACAAGTGTGAGCTCCCTGCCCACACTTGGCCCCAGCACAGGGCCTGGGGCTGGAGAACAGCTGGGTACAGTCATTGCTGCCATTGGCGTTTCTCTTCTCCAACCTGTACATAGTTGTCCCAGATCGGTCTAGCAGTAAGTGGGGACAGAAGGAATGACAGAGGTTATCCACTGAAGGGAACAAAGTCATTAATTACCCAGATAGGTTATGTTAAACTTGAGAGCTGTGTCCTCCCCCCCAAGACACTGCTGAAGAAGCCCACTATGACTTCTAAACTCAAAAAACACAATGCCAAGGAGCAACATCTCACAGGTAGTTACACCCAGCCTGAGTGATCTGAAGTAGCTGTTTTCTAGTCAAGTTAAATTTTCTTATTATTTGCTGTAAATACCAGCTGTGTTGTTTTCCTGACCATGTTATTTCTAGAATCCTTATCACACGCTCTCAGATAGCCACAGCACAGTCACACACTTCACAATCTTCTTCTTCTCCTATTCCCAGCTTTTCCAAACCATTTCTGTTCACAATCCCATCTGTTCAGAAGCTCTTCTATGGCAAGGGGTGACACTGCCCTGGACCTCCACATCCGCTGAACAGGTCAGCAAATGAACTTATCTTCCTTTTCCCCTTCTCTGCCATGCAGGGACCTGACTCACAGATAGGGGTGAACTCAAATGTCATTTCTGATAAACATCTATTTTGCTGAGGAGCATGATGTGTTTATGGGCAATGAAGTGGGCCAGTAAGGAGCAACAGGCATGCGCCAAGTCTTGCAACATCTTGACGCTTCTGAATACCTTGGTCTCCCGCAAAAGTCATCTTGTCTGGTCCTTGGGGCATTTTAAACACCAGGGGAAAAAATGCATAGAGGAAAAGGATTCCCAAGGTCTGCTGGAAGAGAGACCACGTTGAAAAATGGTCAGGTGGGCTGCATTGCACCAGCCTGGATACCAAAGGGAAATACCCTGGAGCAAAGGGTCTAAGAGGAGACAACAGCTGGTTGAAGGTTCCTTTTTTTCTGTACTGCTCCAAGCCAATCAAAACCTCACCTGCCACAACATCAGCTTTAGACCGTGGTTTCACAATTTCCCTCAACAGATTAGCTGATGGGTGGGGGAAAATTTTATATATAGTTTCTGTATCCACAGAATATTTGACAAAGACAAGCAAGTTTGACGGGTAAAAAGAAAGCCTCAATCCTTAGGAGACATTTATTTTTACTGTCCTCCTGAATCAAAGCTGTTATTCAGCAATACTGTGAGCTTAGTGGAATGAATGGGCACCTAAGATTTATGAGAAATCCAGCACAGATTGCTGCCAAAGCTTCCCAAGGGATGTGGGTATCTGGAACAAGGTGTAAATATCTCAATGCTGAAATGCCTGGGCGATTAATCTATCACACAAATGGTGTAGGAGTGACATTCAGATGGCCTCAAAACGGAACTAATATCTTTTTTCTCTGCTCTGCATTCAAGTTCTAAGTTTCCTTTTTCAAGCTGGCTTAGAAACATCAGGAGGACATTCACTCCTGTGGTTTTATGGCATTTATTTCTCAAGTCCAGGCAAGAACTTAAAAATGGAGGAGGGCTGTGATTTGTGCTCCCACCGAAGGGAAAATGTTGGTATTTAAAATCAGTTGAACTCAGTTTTGATCTGTTCTTTTGAGAAACGATACTTGGAAAACGTTTCATTTGTACCATCTTTTAAATGTAAACAAAAATTGCTCCCGTTGTTTCTTTCTGGGATTAAAAAGAAAGTCCAACAATCCTGATCTGGACTAGTCAAATCAGGCTTTTTCCAATGTTTTACAGTTCTGGATCCTGGATTTTAGTTCTTTTCCACTACAAACCTGTAGAGCTTTAACTCTTGCTTTTACAAGGTGCTGTGCTGCAAATTCATTTTAGTCTGGCAAGAGACTATGCCTGTACAAGCCTAAATACAATGATTTTGAGACCTTACCTACAGTAAAGACAACCCCTCTGTAATTTTATCCACTCTTATCCCAACTGCTGACCACATTTTAATACCTTTTGCTAAGCACACTGCCAGATACTGTCACACTGGACATGAAGGAGAGACAAAGGGGAAGCAACTGAAAATGGAAATGCTACTTCCATGTGCTTATCCAGACATAACTTTCCCTGCCACCTTCTTTGCAAAACAAGTTTCAGACACCCAGTTTGAATATACAGATTCAAATTCTCCCAGAACTTCAACTTTGGATGTGAGTGGTAGCTGGAACTTCTCTATTTTTTTCTAGTCAACTGCATCAAAAGACAATGAGAAAGGCTGAATGATTCATACTCATGGAATGAAATGCCATTCACAAACGTTTTTTCCATAGCAATTTGTCACTTATTGTATTGAAACCACTTCAGAAGATGTGTCTCAAAAAGCCTTTTGATATTAACATGATTAAAACCATAATGCAATTAGGCAATCCCATAATATTTCTGTATGTTATATGAGTGGGACCTCAAGTGACCACTTCATTCAAGCCCCTCATAAATGGCTGCTTCCAGCAGAAAGTTGTTAATTCTGCATCATGCCTCAGATAGTTGTAGAACACCAAGGAATTCAAATCTTCTCACCCTAGAGGCACTTTGGCTCACCAAAATTCAGCTTTGGTGTTGGATCTAGCCTACATGTCTCAAACCTTCCAAAATCAGCCAAGAAAGATGCACTTCTCAAGATCTTCTCTGACCACTTCAAAACTGGTATCTAAGATCAGTGGGAACATTGGCTCTCCAGATGTGTCCTTCTCTGTTGGCTACCTAGACATCCACCTGGATGTCTATCACTTTTCCTGCTGTTCCTCTCACGTGTTGGCACCTACGCACATACCAAACTTGCTCACATCTCCACATCAGTTTCCTGTACATCGAGCAAACTATTATGCAAGTACACACAGCTTTGCATTCACACAGGAGACTGCATTAAAAAATCCTTCAGTGAGATGTAGACAGAAAAGTTCTTGTCACCTTCCACAGTGCCAGCTGTAGATCCCTACCTGCCGGGCAGTTGCATCGCTGGTGTGTGTCTCGAACTTCTCGATGTCTTGGCAAATGGAACTTTAATTTCTGCCCAGAGAGGAAAAACAGAAAAAGGATTAATTTGTACCATTGAAACCAAAGCCTCAAATTCTTGAAAAAGTGGAACTGGGAGGGGATGCTGCACAAGTAGAGATGGGAGAGACAGGGCAGAACAGTTTGGGAACGAAGAAAGGCAATAAAGTTCATAGCCCTTAACTAGAAATGCAGGGTTTGATTGAAAGCAGGCTGAGGGAGTTTCGTAATGGCCTCCAAATGTGGTCCTCCTGACAGGCATTACAAAACCAAGAGCCGGCAGTGGCAAATAAATTGGTGACAGTGTCCTCGTGACAAAGCTGCATTTCTCAGAAGACCCACTCAGTGGGCAGAAAATGAAGATCTGAAGCAGGTCTTTTTCCACCCTGCAGCACATTCCTTATGTTCTTGGAAACACCTGGATGGACAGAAGGTCCCACTGCAAGATTATGGCTGAAGATGCAAACAGCAACAGCATCCCCTGAAATCTTCAGATGCTGTGAAACTTAATTTTCCCCCCAAGGGCAGAACACAAAAAACCTATCAAGAGCTTCCACAAGGTGGAATTTTGTCAGAATGATTTCATACATGAGTTTGGATTTCTAATGGTGCCAGCATGCCAATCTCCTGCTCTCTGGGCCCATCTGTATATCTCATGAAGGGTAAATAAAGTCCACCTGAGGTCAGTGCATCTTCCCTTGCTGAGAACATCAACAAAATTAACCCATGTCCTGAGCAAAATGCGCTTCAGGGGTAGCATCCCCACCACCCCTCACAGACTTTATAAAATAACCGTAATTTAGTGAAGAAAATGCAAATCAATCCAAATAGGTTATTCATTAATGCCTGCGAACCACACTTGGTTAATGATTTGAAAACACTGAGCTGCTGGGGTTCCTAAGCTCTGGAGTCACTCTCTCTTCCCTCCTTACCTCCAAGCCCAACTTCCCATCCCCACTGAGCCTTCCTGTTTTTTGAACTTCTTCACAAGTGGGCCAATATTTCAAAAGAAACAGCCTTATACAGGACACAACAGAAGACAAGCCCTGCCCAAGATCATATAGAAATTGCTTTATTTTCACAAGTAATTGAGCATCTTCCTGCAAGAAGGTATCAGTTTGGGGAAAAATTCTTTTAGAGAGGATAAAAGTAAATCAACTTGTTTCCGCCTGGGATGAAGGAAGCCAAAATTGGCTGGAATATTTCCATTTTTTCACTTTGAAAGGACTGGCTTCCTCATTGCAAGTCAAAAGACTAACGGTTGTTGTGACTGACTAGAAATTAAATATTTTCAGAGCTTTATTTTGCATGGTAGATTGAAATGTTTTGATAGCAAGTTGACTTGATAGCAGGGTGAGGAGAGGGTTTTAGGCAAGGAAAATTGGCAGTTCCCATAGAGCATTTCATTGATGTTTACCTTCTCAGCTAAAAGCACAGATATGTGAATTTCTGCATCTGGGCACGTTCCCATGCTGCTGCCACCCCAGATGGCACAGCTCTGCTCTGCAGCACTGCCTGGCTTCTAACTGCTAGTGGTCAAACATGGGCACAAGCAGGACAGCAGAGCCTTTAATTGGATACTCACTGGTATGTGGGCACACATGGCTCCATTCCCATCCAGAAATGTGCCAACCAAAACGTCTCCAACGCCAGACTGCCACATTTGGGTGGTGCTCCCATGTTTGGGAATCAGGCTTAGACAAGGAAGGGATGATGGTGTGCAATGGCAGGAGCAGAAAGCCACTGCCAAGCCAACAAGGGTCCAAACACCCTGCATGCAACAGGGGCCTTTACAGGACAGAGATCTGCAAGGAAACATGGAACAGATCCCTGCCCCACCAAGGGCAGAGGCACTGGAGGGGCTGTAGGGGGGAATGGCCAAGTTAGGCTGTGCTGCAAGAAGCCTTGGCTGGGCTGCTGTGCAGCTTACAAAGAGAGGAGCAGCATAACTAGACAGGGAAATGATGACCCAGCAGGACTGGAGCATGACTGGGAACGGAATAGGGCTGATAACATTTCCCTGAGGTTTTATCTGCAGGGTCAAGGTAGTGGAAAGACCTGGAACAACTGAAATAGCCTTCTCAAGGCCAGGGGCCCCTGGGAGGGAGGTGCGGGTGCTGCTGGGCAGGCTGGAGAACAGCCCTGTGCACAATGAGCACACAGCCATCACACACTTACCAGCATTTGGACATTCTGCCCCATCCCTCGTGTTTCACTCAAGCCCAAGAGCTCTGCACATCCCTGGGGAGTGCAAAGGGCAGTGGTGCCGTGGGACTGCTCCCCTTTAGCGGCAGGCAAAACCTACCAGGGATTTAGGAGAGCCTGGTGTTCATTCCCCTGCACAGTCTATGAAACAAACACCGCCACAGAAAACATCCTTGGCTCTTGGAGACCTCAGTTCATCTTTGGGTGGAGATGGCAAAACAAAACAAACCCCCCAGCCTTTTCTGCTTCCCTCATTTCCACTGTGCAAAATATTGCCTGGCACAACACAAGAAGCTGGCTTTGTTCAGGAGAGCAAACCAAATGTACCTCCCTCTAAAAATGTCATTTCCAAGAGAAAACTTTCATTCCCAGGCAACAGAAAACCATTCAACTTTAGGGCAAGATTGGCTTCTGTGAGGAAAACTTAAAAGGAGGTGGGTTCTGGAAATCTAGTGTTAGCAATCTCCTTCCTAGGATCTGGGGTTTGCTTTTTCATCTGGGGGATACCTGGAGCTTGTAACATCAAGAGCAGCAACAGGCTGCCTTCCAGAAAAACAGTTCCTATGGAGGGGATTGCTTTGTCAGCAGAGCCTGCTCTCATCTGTCACGTTATCCAGTGACATAACAGCTGCATCTTCCCCCTACACCACGGCAAGTGGCTGAAGAAATCCTTTGCCAGCGCTGGAGGCACAGCTGATCACCCCCACCTGCACCTCTGCGGATTCAGGGAGCCATGGCACACTGCTGAGTGCGAGGAAAGGGAAAATCCCTCTGCAAGAGGGCAAGGCCAGGAGGGTCATGCTGAAACACCCGCTGGGAATGGGCAGTAAAGTCAGCACAGGCTTTTCCCATGGGTTTTGTTAACTCACCACAAGCGTGACAGGACAGGGCTGACATGGGTGGACAGAGCAGTGACAGCAAGACCACTTCTGACATTAAAGGACCATGGCTGCAGTCTCCTAAACCTTGCAAGTGCCTGTCTATTTTGGATGGGCACTTGAGATTAGGTGAGAGGGAGGGCACTTCTTCAAAGGGGGCAGATTAATAGCTCTTTAGCATTCCCAGTTGTTTGCAGTCACCCGGGGAGGTGAAATCATTTCCCACCACTATCTCCAACCGCTAAGAGAAACACATTTTAAATAGATAATCTATTACCACCATCAGGAGGATTTCAGGGGTGGGTGGTTTTGTTAACTCTTATTGTTTTACCTCCAATTTCCCCATTTTTTCTTAAAGGCCCAGGTCCTAGGATCATGGGATCATATGGCACAAAGCAAAAGTGAGCAGTGAGTCCTCCCAGGTGGAGCAAAAAGCTTGGAAATAACACCATCTAGGTACAGCGATTGCAAGCAGCTGAAAGGAAATGGAACTTAGCTACCAGAGAAGCTGAGAGAAAAAAAAACAGATCTCCCGACCGTGGGGCAAAGAACGCAAAGGTAAAGATGTGGGCAGGGGATGCTTAGAGCAAGGTTACAGACCCTGGGAAACAAAGCAGTGTGCTTTAAGATTTGGAATAAAAGAAAGGGAGAAAAACACTTCAAGTCAGGAGGGAAAGAGTTTTCTAGTGTCCCTCCTTTGCTTGCACAAGTAAGGAAAGAGTTCCAAAGAAATGAGACTATTGGGAAAGCAGTGAGGATCAGTGCTCCCTCCCCATTCACAGGCACATTCCTGAATCCCTTCAGAATCACTAAAAGTACAACAAACACCTTCAATACAAGCCCCTAAGAAGGCTGAGGGGCAGCTGATCTTCCCCTAGGGTGCACAGGATAACCTGCTGCTGCATCACACATACATATTTCTGTCTCTACAAATTCACAAATTCTGGGATTTTTTTTCTAGCAACAGCTCTGAATCCATCCCATTCTCCACCCTGATGAGCTTTTGGCAAGTGAAATAGCACCAAGTGCTCCCCAGCATGAGAAAGGACTTTGTTTTCTCCTTTGGAAAGCCTTGCCTCTCTTGCAAATGCCAGTAGTGAGCTTATTTGTGCTCCTTGTATGATTTTATGACATCTCATAAATGTAGAGGAATTCAAAATCCTACATGGAGTTAAAGTTCTACCTGTACTACCTGTTTCTGGCCCATTCTGCACAGATGTTTTTACAAGAAAACCTAGTCAATTTGAGTCTGGTAGAAAATTCCCTTGTGGTATTCGCCTACACCAGGCAGAGGTTTACACAGTAGCACATTAAGCACTGGTCAGGCTGCTTCTGGGAAAGCATCTGCCGCCCTCTCCTCGCTCCTCCTGAGCTGAGATGGAAACTCTGCCACAGCCAGCCACCAGTGCTCGAAAACCAGGCTCCGAGATGGAGAAAACATCCCCACCAGCTGCCTTCAAATTAACATCTTAAGCAAACCACCCCAGCTTCTCTCCCTGCCACTTTGCTTTATTTTTCCATGTCTAGAAGAAAGGCCTCTAAAAGGACTTTGGCAATATGCACTTCTCAGTGCAATCTGTATGGTGTCCCTTGCTGATCCTTGGGAACACCTAGGGCACACCTGGGCACAGTCATGGCCCAGAATGGAGGGCATTACACGCTCCAGCTCAGAGCAGTACAGGTTTTGAGCATAACCTTAGATCTCCTCTATCAGCCCTCACAGACTACTTAGTTACACCCTACACCCCTCTAGCTCATCTTCACAGCCACCAGAGCTAGAATGTGCTCCTGTGCTGTGCCTTCCCTCCCACCTCTGATCAGCTTTTTCTAAAGCTGGGGTTCCTTTAAAGCTTTGCTATTTTATTTTGTGATGGATAACAGTGAGCTGGCAGCTGTTAAACCCATTAAGGTTGAAACACCAGGAAACGGTGAGGATGTGGCAATGAGAGGCGGCGAGGGTCTGAGCAGGGGGAGATGAATATCCCACTTTCACGTCCATCACAGCAAACCCATCTGCAGCCCCTCTCCCCCACTCATGGTCAGCATGACTTATTTTGCTTTCCTTACTTTTTTTCTCCCATCCTTTCCCTGGTCCCTTTACCTACCCTGTTTTTCTCCATCCTTGCCCCTCACCAGTCAGTCCTGTGCCCCACTTCAGACATAATGAAAAGGAGAACCGGAAGGATTTTTCTTTCCTAATCAAAAGCCTCATAGGGCAGCCCACCATCTGTCCACCAGCAGCCCCTTGTCCTAGAGCTCGAGCTGCTTGGTTCATGCCAGTGCCTCTGGCTGAGTGTGGTGGTCTAAGGTTTAAATGCTTATCAGAAGTGGGCAGCACAGCTGCAAAGGGTGTCCTCCCTGGGGGACAGAGCCCACCTCCCCCATGGGCATCAGACCTTCACAGGTATAAAGGGACAGGAGATGTGGGCCAGGCACCCTTTCTCCTCCACAGTGTCCAGTACTTTTCTCCAAGCTCTTTTTGAAGCTGTGGCTCAGGATGAAGCTGGTAACCCTGGCAGTACTCAGGAGCAAGTGCTGGCCCCTCAAGCAGTCATTCCTGTCCTACAGCTGCAGTGGGGACTGTGGCCACCCCTAGGAGCACAGGAGGAGCTGCTTAGGGAACAGGGGTGCTGCTGGGCACATGGGCATCATGAGACCCCGATTTCCTCGCTAAGCTGAGCTATAAAAAGGTGGAAAGGTGTCGCTGCCAGCAGAGCCAGCAGGACACAGAGCCATCCGGCCCCAGGCACCATTCCCGGGAGGCACTTCTCAAATCTCGGTACAGATAAACTTCAACTTCCCAGCAGACTTATGCCAGCAGCAACAGAGGGACTGCTGCACTATCCCCTGCCTAGTGGCAGGGAAGGAGTCCTTGCACGAGAGCGCAACCACAGGGCACAGATCCAATCACTCACAATACTTCTGCCTCCCCAAACCCATTTTTAAAGTAGGATATTGCCCCATGGACCCTGTCTTTCCCTTATTCCTCATCCAAAGAAGCAACTCAAAACCATATCCTTCAGCTCCTGCAGTGTTTGCTAACTCAAGGTTCACAGCTTTTGGCTGCACACCCCAGCAGATCCAGGAACTGCTCTCACAAGACCCATAAACAGAAGCGAAGCCTGTCAGCTGTAGGTTTAAACTCCTCACCACAGACTTTCACTGCTCCTAGAAAGCAGGAGGGGGTCCAGGTCACCCCTGGTGCCAGGCAGCAGGGACCTGGTGGCAGGTCCCAGTAGTCAGCACTCTGATCATCCCATTCCTCACGTCATCTGGTAATACCAGCCCAAAAGAGATCTTTTCCAGCTACAAAGAGTTTTTGGGCTAGCCCTAGGGATCTCTCCAGCATGACTCAAGCCAAAGCTAGAGTAAACAGAGAAAAGGAGAGTTGGGTGGAAATGGCTCCATCCCTAAATTTCACCCCCAAGCCTCTCCTAGAGCTGTGGGAACAGGTCAGTGGGGACCTGTCTGGAGAGTTCAGAGACATGAGCCACCATCTGCTCCCTGACGCATGTCAACACCACTTCAAAGCCCAACAAGGCAAGGAATACTCATTGCAGTCAGAGTAGAGGAATACAGACAGCCCGCAGTAGCATCAACACAGCAACACCTTTTAGTGTCAGCAACAACAATCTGCGCTTTTGGGCCCTCTTTATTGACCTGCTGAAGCCAGTAGCAGCATCCCCCCATCACCAGAGGAGGAACAGGGTCCAGTGGAGTCTGGATGGGACTCAAATGAGTATAACACAGCCATATGCTCTATATTGATGCCCTGGCAGTACCAGAAACCATCCTGGCAACACCAGTGTGTCTCATTTTCCTGAGCCAGGAGCTGTGGAAGGGGTCAGGGCTGGTGCAGCAGCAATGCCAGCCCATCACAACATTGGTGTGTTTGCAATTACCTCTTCCCATAGCCATGCTGGCTGTCACATGCCTTACACATGTCCCCTTCCTGGGCTCAAACCCATGCTGAATCCCCAAGTTTAACCTCTAATTCTAACTCTTTCAGCATGCAAGACTCCTAAAGAGAAGGGCTAGAGATTTTTGCCTCCCCAGCAGGATCAGGGTTGAGGCTTTCCTCTTTGCAAAGTGCAGGCTACAGCTACAGCATGGGCTGAGAAGAGAGAAGTAAACGCCAAGCAAGTTTGAGAGGTGGGAGGGACCTGAAGGAACAGGGAATTCAACCTAGCAGCAGCATCACTCATGCAAAGGTACATTTCTAAGGAAAGGGAAAAAAAATGGATGATGTGACTATGCAAGCGTGCATATGCCTAAACCCTATAATACTACAAACTATACATGCAAAACGAAAGAACACTGACCTCATTGAGCAGTTGGTCAACTCTTCCCAAAATAGCTGTCTCCATTTGGTCTGCTGAGAGCCAGGCAGGGAGCTGCGTGGGTCTGTCTGCTTCCAAGTGGGACACCCGGGACTGCAGATCGGAGGTCCGAAAGTACAGCAGGAGGCTCAGCACCAGAGAGAGCAGGGACACGCCGGGCAGCCCCGAGCCCAGCAGGAGAGGGAGGCGGCAGCATCTCTCCCCATCGCCACTCCTGGGGGGAGCCACACACCCCCTGTCAAAAGCTGCTTCGTCGACTCCTTTCCAGCTCTTCTCCTCCAACATTCCCTCCCTGTCCTGAGAAACAATAAATAAATAAATAGAATAAATAAAGCTTCACTCCTACTCCAAGATGCACAATCCAGAAGGCATAGAAAAAGCAACGTCGAAGGGAATCCCAGTGCCAGCAAATCAGAAGTGACAGCAATAATGACAAAAGTGGATGGGGAGGGGGGGTGTCTTTAAAAAATAAAAACAAACCACACACACATAAAAGGGGTGCAGAAAAAAGGGATCCAACTGCAGCAAAAAGTGTGAGGGGGAAAAAATAATCTGATCAAGATTTTTTTTTTTTTCCCTCCTGTTTTTTTCCCTTCTATTTCAGTCTTTTGGTTCGCTGGTAGGTTTTTGATTCTTTCTAAGCTGTCGGTTTCAGTTCCTTCGCAGACTGGCCAGGAGCTCGCACATGAAAGTCCCCATTAGAGAGAGGTAATTCTCAGCTGCTCCGGCGACGTTGTGCTCTGGCTGATCGTGGCTCCCCTGTAACATGACACACTCCCTCCGAACTACGGGGCTGGGATGAGCGAGCTGCGCGGCTTCCCAAAGTCACCTCCTCTGCTCGCCCTCTCTCTCCACCTCTCCCCTTGCTGCATGATTTATTTATTTATGCAAAGCGCCGGGGTGGGATCGGGCAGTGGGACGCCCCTGTCCCGCTCGGTCCCCAAACCACCTCTGCGCCGCCAGCTCTTCCCTTTGAAGTGACTCTCGCCGAGGTTATTTATAGTGGCAGGAAAGAGATTGTAAAGCAGAGGCTGGGCTCACACCAGCCTGCATCTTCCTTTCCTCCAGGCAGCCGAGAGCACTTTATGGGATGGTACAAATCCCCCCCGCAGATCCCGGGACAGCCCTGAGGCACCGGCAGTGGGGTATTTGGACCCCGACTTTTTGAGGAGAGCAGCCAGGCAGGGTGAAAAGCGGAGGGAAACATCTGGAAACAAGAGCTGGCAGCTGAGGGCTCTGCAAGAAATAAGTGAAGGGCAGCAGGGAGAAACACCCCAGGCAAGCAAGCTGCAGTGCAAGGGGGGAACATTTGGGGGTACAACCTGCCAAGAGTGTTCAGAGGAAGTAATCTGCTGAGGCCCTCTAGTGAAGCAGAACTTCCCATCATCTCCGTGTCCCACCAGGCACAGGGCACCAGACAGACAATCCCCCTTTGGCAGTGAGCAGTCTCCCCAAAACGTGCCGTAGGGCAGCTCTGAGCCATGTGTCTGGGAAACAAAGCCTCCTTCTGTTCTTCAGCAGCAAGGGAGGGCCACGTCTCCCAGTTTTTCTGAGCATAACATACAATATTTTATCCTCCAGGGTGACATGCAGGCTCTGCTGAGCCCCTGCCTGTCTGTCTGTCCATTCTTTCATCCTCTCCTTGAGCACGCTCAGCATGAAGCAGCACAGAGCTCACCGTGGTGCACAGTCATTAAAACCCAGGCAGCAAATTGGTCTCTTAAAATCTGGCTCCCTTGTGGCTATTTTGCTGTCATTTACACATTTAAAATGAAGATTTTGCGTGCAGTCTGTGCTGGAAATTAACTGGCAGAGAAAACTCATATTCATCTCTGGCCTGGTCTCTGTTTCAGGGGGCTGGAAGAGACAGACCTTCTGGGAGCAGGTTAACGCAAGCCCGAGCTGTTCCTCCTCCACCAGACAAACCCTCGGAGGGCCCGGTAGCACACAGCCCCGATTCTTCGAATGGCCTCATGCCTTTCACAGCCACTCACTTCCCAAAATGGGGTTTTAGCGTCTGCAAGGCAGGAAATCCTTTCTTTATTTCTTTTAGTGGGTTTCTTGTCATCTCACTGCTCAAATTTGCGTTGCTGTTCTGGCACGCAGGGAAAACACCCCTCTGATGGCTGCAGCCTTTCAACAGTTTTTCATATGAGCAGGGCAGAGATGTGTAACCCACAGACCCGGCGCACAAAGGGTGTCTATTTGTTCAGGAGGTGTAGCCACCCCAGTCTCCTACCCCCTGCCCAGTCTCCCCCTGTGTTAGCAGCCTACTTCTTTACAAAAGGAAAAGAAGTCTTTGAGGCCCGGCTCCATGGGAGTTACCCAAGATACCACCTGCAATCACAGCAAATAAGTAGACAGAGAGAAATGAAAGCGAGATGCCTAGAGGCTGATGATACAGTGTTTGAGAAGCAGAGATCTTCTCAGAAAAATACCAGTCAGCAACTGGTGCTTAATGTCCTACAGAGTGCTGCAGTACACTACCTCAAGACTGGGGTTGAACTACTGATGACTGCAGTTACCTGCCTGTGTTACACAAAATCTCATCTAAGGCTTGTCTCTCTCCCCACCCTTTATACCAGCCTAAGCACTGAAATCACAAAAACACACCCTCTAAGCTAAAGATGGAAATCTGGGTGTCTACACTACATTTCCCCCCACTGGCTGGGGAGAGCTCTCTGCTCTTTTGCGCTGGTTTTTGATACAGATCCTGCTGTCCAGACACGAGCATCGCCTGAATGACTCTGTAAGTGCCTTTTCCTGCCTCCCTGCCAGCCCCTCTCCAGCTGATCAGCTCATTTAGAGGGTATGTCATAGTTGCTGCAGGCTGGGGAGCTGCAGTCAGACGGGTTTCACGGAGAAGCCTTAGCTGCAGATGTGCAGGAGGGTAATTTTTCTATCCATGAGATATTACAGAGCCCTGTCATCCCATGCCAATAGAGATGGACTAATTTAGCCACAAACCTGAGCCGACTGTGCATGTTGAGTCTGCAGCACTGCTCAACCAAAAAGCTGCCTTCAGAAACAGGCCTGGCATGTGGAATCATCTCAGCACTCCCTGAGTTGAGCACAGCCTGGACTTCTGCTCTCTAAACGGCCTGAGAGGAGGCGAGCACTGGCCTGAAACCAGTCCTCCTGCAAGTTCGTGACTCTCAAAGTCAGTCAGGTAGAAACAAATACTCACTTGCAATCAGGAGTAATTTCACTGACTAGTGACTCTTAGAAAGCCCTGCACATGCTGAGCTTGAGGCTGCATCCGTCTTTCCTTGGGGAGGTTAATGATATTCCTTACAAGGACAGTGACCACACAGTTCCATTGCTTCTAACACATCTTCCAGGACGTTTAAGGACCTCAGCACAAATATACAAAGAACTGGAACAAATAGAACTCACACATATAACTTCCCAAAGCAGCTAAAACTCCTCTGTACAACAAAAAAGTTTCACATCTACCCCATGGCACTGGGTCAGGTGTGGCAACACTCCAGCTTGGTCAGTTTTAAGCTGGCACAGGCACTTTGTCTTTCTCAGGGATATCTGTACATGGGCAAAGCACCTCACAGAGTTTGCCCAGCACTGCTCTGCAAGACACACGGTGCTCACAATATGTGGGGATTCCTCATATGGAACGTGACCACAATGTGGTCTTGCTGCAATAGACCATAAACCCTCTTTGACCCAAGGCAGGTACTGTGTACATGAACCACTCCATGCCACAGGCCAGAAACGGATAGAGCTGGGCACGGATGTGGTTCTTGCTTCTATAAGCACAGTTCAAGCCAGCGAGGCATCTACAACAGGACTTAACCTGTAAAGAGATAGGTAACAGAAGCAGGCTTTCCTCACCTTCCTTCACTTAAAGACAACCTTCCATTAAAAAAATACCATGTCCTTCCTGACACTAACTGGAAGTTGAAGCCAGCTGCCTGGAGATGCCATGTGCTCAATCCTGTCACTAATCTTCCCCATTTCAGACCATTTACTAGGCAGAAAATCCCCACCCCAGTTCTCTTTCTGCTCTTCTGCTTTCCCCCTCCCCCCACCCCCCGCAGGAAACATGGGGGTCTCAGTGTGCTCAAACCACCATTAACTAGCAGCCGACATCTCCAGCTATTGTAAATATATTAACTCAAGGCCTTTTGCTGCATTTATTAGACTCAAGAACAACATCTGGAAACAGATGTTTTCTGAGCAGAGCAGAGAGAAGGAAGGAGGGTAACAAAACAAGGGGGTGGGAAGGACTCTTGCAAGTGGAAGTACATGGTCTGCAGACCATCCCTTTGCAAAATGCTGCTCAGATGGAGCACTGCAAGGGGCTGAGGCAAGTGCAGCCACATCCCTCAAGGCAAGGCAGTGAGAGTGGAACAACTTAGGGCTGCCTGACAGAAACAGCAATGGGGGAACAGGAAAACCCACATCAGTTTTCAGGGCCCCTGTGAGGAAAGGTCAGAACTCTCTCACACAAATGGGACAGACACTGGGGCAGAGAGATTTAGGGGTTTTTTTTTCCTTTCCTGGTCATGGACCTTCCCAGTCCTCAGCTGCTCTATATCCTAGAGGCTGGCACGCTTATAATGGGACAACATCACCTCCACAACAGTCTGGCAGCATCTGCCACTGGACTCATAGTGTAGGCAAGGTCTAGGGCTCCCACAGGATCCTGTCTGTCCCAAGCAGCCTGTTCTCAAAAGGCAAGCAGAGTGGAAACCTCCCATGCCAGGGACTCTGAAGGACCAGCGGTCCTACTCTGATGTGGAGTCTTGATGTCATGGCTCAAATTCAGACAATATTTAGAAAATTACAGTTTTAACTAGGGACATAAAGTGCACACGCATACTTAAAAATATATCTCATGGCAGTATTGCGAAACTCCATTCTCAACTAGATACACTTTGGCTTAGGAACCAGAGATGCCTAAGGTACAATAGAGGTCTGAGATCAAAGCTTCCCTGCATTTCTTTTGTGGGAACTGCAGTTTTACACATACCCTCGCTTTTTATTAAAATAAAACTAAAGGCAACAAACAACTCCAAAACCTAAGACAGACAAAAACAAAACCCCATAACAAGTATTTTGTCATCTTTAACCTCAGGTTCACAATGGGTATCTCCACACCCTTGTCTCTCTGAGATGCAGTCACACATACTTTGCAAGTAAGGTCAGGAATACTGAGTATTACCTACCTAATTTGGTATTTGTTTATAAGAAGTATTAAGAGGCCTATGGAGCAGAACAATTCCCGCCTGAGGAGCTGCTATAACCCATTGTGGAGTTATAGAATAAAGACACATTTGATCCTTTGGGAAAAGGGTTATGAAAATACATGGAAAAAATATACTGTCCATGCATAGTAATATCATGGCTGTTTTCAATCACTTGGTCTCCTACAAAACAAAGGGGTTCACTGCACAATATGAACTCCTAGCACTGGTAGCAGCAAAGGAAGCAAGCAAGAAGCAAAGTTAGTAGTATCTGGTTAGGATTTTATATTTTCATAACCCTAAAATGCCTGAGCTCATTGTTGCCTCCCTCCCAACAAAGCCAAACTGGCTTTGTGCAGCTGCAGTGCTGGGAACCTCTCCCCAGAGCTGTGTGAGAACAGTCAAGCAGAGCTGAGCTGTGTCCAGGCTGGGAGCATGGCCACCAGCAGCTCCTGCAGAGGCTGGGTCAGAGCTTCCAAGGGAGGATGGAGCAAACACAGGTTTTGCACAGTTTGGGGCCACCCCTTCTCCCACACACCCCGCAGAGGGAAGGCTTTGCTAGAGAAAAGCACGGGACAGCAAGTGGTGGACACACAGTTATACTGCCCACGCCTGTTCTTGTGTTTTCAACTAACCTCTCACCCTTTGTTCAGATGATGAGGGAAATGGCTCTGAGGAAAGCAGGCTCTGCACCCTTCTTCATGGAGGAACTTTTTTCTCACAGCAGAAGCCCTTCATGGCCAAGAAGCATTTCACAGGAAAAAGTTTTATTTCTTTGCAGCAGTTATTTGGTTTTTTTTTGTTTGTTGCTGGGCTTGTTCTTCCTTGTTTGGAGCTGATTTTTAATTTTCAGTGCCACTAGAGTCTGCAGAGATGGTCATCTCTGCTAGGCTGCTTTTTGCTGTTATCTTGGTTCCTGCAGAGCCTGGGTGGGAAAGAGAAGTTAAATTAAGAAAAACATTGCTACAAATAAGACAAGAAAAAGCCTCCATCCCTG